TAGTAAAGGGGCGAAAATAGGAAAAGAGGTGGCCATGGCGACTAGAGAATAACATAAGATATACTTTGCTCAAATTTTGGAAAAAATACCAGTCTGTCGGGAAAATAATAAGCGCAATTTTGCATCGAAAATTGCATCACTTTTGGGAAACTACAGCGATCGATGCATCGACATCGCGCTCATTATTTTCCCGACAGTCTGAGAGATACCAAAATTCTACTCTGTGCTAGTGATACATGATATACATACGGATATTTTGAGCACAAAGATTCGCTTGGCAATAAGTTGACATCGCCAAAAAAAACTTTTCTTTTGGCTGTCCAGAAACCGGGATCGGCTATCCAAAGTGTCAAAATATAGCTACGAAGCCTTGACAGTAGCTAGTTTAAAGCTATATGGTATAGCTCGTCTAAAACTTCTACTCTTTCAATCCCATTCTAACCTTTTGTGTGGCTATCTCAGTGGGGCTTTGCAGCGATTCAGCTTAAACATTCCCTAGGCAATTTGTTGACATGACCAAAAAACGCTTTCGTTTGATCGTCCAAGAACCTGGATCGGCTAGCCAAAGTAACAAAATGGCTTTCAAAACTTGAAAGTAAAGAGAATAGCTTGCCTACATCTTCATATAGCTAGTCCAAAACTTGAAAATAGCTAGTCTAAAACTAGCTCCTACTTTTTCAACCCCATTCCAACCTTCTGGCTAGTTATTTCCGAGGCTTCACAGCCTTTCTGACACTTTGGCTAGCCAATCCATGTTTTTAGCTAGCCAAACGGAAAAATGCCTTGTTCTGGCAGTCATATCAACTCACTGGCCAGCTGGCCAAACTATTTGCCAGATCGGATAACTCGGTATGCCTTACGTAAATGGTACCTCCTTCTGCAAGACACATTGCCGTATTTTACCTTTTACACTGCTCAAATCAAATCAATCAAAACCCCTAAAAAACCCGCTGCAATCCCTTTGCAATCGAACTATCCGGACAGAAATCTCTCACGAGCCCCCCAAATATTCCGAAAACATTAATTAACCATCTATTTTCCCCAAAAAATTTCGAAAACAGTCCGATAAACAAGCCCAAACCCAAGACCAAACTTATTTTTGGCCTTTCCGGGGAGTAATGTCACAATTTGAGTTGAATTCGACCCGCAACTCGCAAAAGCGCGGCCATACCCTAAGGGGGAGAAAGCCTGCATGAAGAGAGAGGAGAGAGCCTTCGCATGAACACACCCAAAAAATGGAAAAAAACGATGGCTTCGAGGCAAAGTGGGGCTTTAATGGTCAGGGAAAAAACGAAGGAGCTTTTCATGGAAATTTAAGCGAGAAATTAACATGATCCGAAAAATATTGTTGGCGAAGAGGTGTGTAAACATGTGTGTAATGGAAGGGGGATTAAGTTGTTATGGCTCTAAAAACAAGGCAATGAGAAGAGGAAGGAGAACTCTCTTCAGTTTGTCGGGAAAATAATGAGCTCTCTGTCGCTGCGCCAATCGTATCGCTGAAATGAAAAGGAATTTGATTTTCTCCGCGACACAATTTTTCTTGGCGGCGATGTGATTTTCGATGCGACAGAGTGCACATTATTTTCCCGACAGACTGATATCTTGGCTACCTCTAACCTAACATGCTTCAACGGCGCTTTTGCTCACATTACACGTGTAGAGGAAAATTTCCCGCAAATGGCATTTTTCTGGGACGAAAGTTGGTCATCTTTGAAGCTTTGTAAAAACCGCTATTCTAAACGTAACCACACGGAGCGTATACCAATAGATAGCGTTTTCAACGTTCTTTCAGGCGATATCAACAGATGCACCAAAACTTTAACTCTACCTGTAAAAAAGGCACAACTAAGAAAACGGCACGGTCATACTTCTAAGCCTAATAATAGCCCGTCCAAATGAAGTGATTTCGGCGATGTACGTTGTGCAAAAAAAGCGAGTGACAGCCCAGAAAAGCCATTTGCACGGTGCAAGATGGACTTTTGTTTTTCGCACAGTGCATGTCGCCAAAATTATTCCGGCGACTTTCCGGACGAACTGTCTGTCTGATAATATAAAGAGCACTCTGTCGCGTCGAAAATCGCATCGCCGTTGAGAAAGTGAACGGAAAGTTATGGAAAACATCATTCATTTACGATGTTTATATTAGGTCTGGAAGTACTAGTCTCACCGCAATTTTCTCGCACGACATCCACGATAAATTTCGGGGTTTTATGGCGCGACTAGTAAATTTGTTATTTTTTCGGATTGCAATTTCAATCAAAACAAAAAATTTTACATTAAAGCTTGTTTAAATTATTACTAGCACTACAGGGTGTCCAGAGAAATTCCGCGGAAAGTGTTTGCCAATTTCTCGGCGCTTAGGCAAGATATCCCAAAAATTCTTTTTGCATTAGAAAGAAGACTATGGGCGGTTTTTTGTCTAAAAAAGTTTTTTTGTCCGCCGACGCGGAACATACTGTATTCGGCGGAGACTTTTGGTAGCTTTTTTGGTCATCACACCAATCTTAAGCGGTTTACTATGATCCTGAAACTATCCGGAAGCCTTCAGTTTTTCCACGGAGGATCAGGGGACCGACGACAACGCTATGCAATCGCATTTAGCGACCGCACCGCACTGTGTAGTTGCGTCAACAGCGATGAAGTCCGACCGCATCGTGCGGAGGTTTGAAACAGCGGGGCAAAGAGAAGTTCAAACAAAAAATATTTTGTTGTTTTCTGGTACACCAAGTCGTTTACTGATGGCTAAGCTGCTGCCAAGGCTTGGCGACAAAATTTTGGAAAGCATATGGGATCAGCAAAGAATGCTAGCCACATAATGTTTGGGACATCTCCTATCCAAAGCTGAGTTGTGGCCTCCGCCGGTACGGAAAGCTCGCCATTCCATTGCCGAACGTTTGGTAAACATAAAAATAAGATAACATTCTCTTTTTAACCATCAGAAATCGTACCGCAGCTTTTAAGATTGGTGTGATGACCAAAAAAGTTACCAAAAGTCCCGCCGAATACAGTATGCTCCGCGTCGGCGGACAAAAAAACTTTTTTAGAAAAAAAAACCGCCCATAGTCTTCTTTCTAATGCAAAAAGAATTTTTTGGATATCTTGCCTGAGCGCCGAGAAATCGGCTAACACTTTCCGCGGAATTTCTCTGGACACCCTGTACTCACTGCGACATTAGGTACGACACTTCATGGATTGGTACGCGGTCAATAGAGAAGCAGTATGCAATTTTTAAGAGAACCTAAATGTCCTCTCATGAAGATTTCGCTCGTAGAGGAGCATGTTTTCTTCCCTGGGCCTCTTACCAAGTCGTCACAGAGACATCTTGTTGTCCCTGTAGCGACTTGGTGCGGTAGAAATTTTTTTACGGTAGTCGCCGACTAGTATGGTCTTATAAAATACGTGTTAAAAAGACTTCCTTAATGGTTTTTGAAACTCCAGGGCTGTTTCGCCTTACAAACTCAATGCTACCTCTATGAAAAACCTTAAATTTTCTATTAGCTTCAGAAAGTTTAGTGAGCTGTGCCCAGGGCAAAGAATCGTATCTTTTATCGTTTAACTGTGCTGCATTTTTTGGAATTGATTGAAAACTTTTACTGCATTTTTATAGTCGAGGATTTGTTGATAACCAAAAAAAATTGTTATAAAAAAGTTTCATCTCATGAAGGTATATTTTGGCCTCAAATTGATTTTTGAGATCTGTGAAGTTGTTCGTTATATACAGGTTTTGTTGTAACTGTGTTTACTGCATATGTCAAAAATCGCGAAAAAAAGGATTTACATCGCCGAGAAAATGAATTGCGTCGGGGCAACATCAAATTGCTTTTCACTTCAGCGACGGAATCGACGAAGCGACATTGTGCTCGTTATTTTCCCGACAGGCTGGTAAATTCTCAGGTTTTGCGCCGACCAGTGCTCCATTATCATTTCCAGGTCCATTCACACCTTCTCGCCTCCATTTCGCTCATAAAAAGGCCGAAAAGTCCCACTCGCAAAACACGCAAATGCGGGAAAAAGCGCGGAGAAAAGAGAGGGCGTAAAAAGAAGAGAGCGCCCAGAGAAACCCGTGTTTTCGGCTTCAATTCGCTTTCTCGAGGAGAGCCGGGAGAGAGTGTTGGAAGAGGAGAGTTTCGTTGTAAAATAACCAACCCCCCGTCTTTTTGGGAGTTGGGGGCACGTGAGCGGCGAGGAGCCGAGTATCCCCCCTTAAATTCGCTTGTTTTTATTGGTTTTTAGGGTCGGATGGGTAAAATAATGGCGTTTGAATATGAACTGGAGTAATTTTAGGGAGAGTAGAGAGTGTGAGGAAGATGTGGGATAGCGAGAAATAATAGAAATTAGCGAAAAAACATGGAAAATGAGATTTTTGACGGAAATTTGGGGATTTTCGCTGAAATTTTGAGAATAGTGTTAATTTGACCGTTCGATTTGGCTGAAATGCAGTGAAAATTAAAAAATAGAGTGTTTTAGATGACATGTTACATATACAGTTTGCAAGTTGCAAAAAACGACCGAGAATTTTTTGGTCGAAATTTGAAGAAAAGTCGATTTTTTTGTTGTAAGTAACATTTTTTGTAATAAAATAGTTTATCAACAGTAGCTTTCGAAAAAATGTTGAAATTCAACAAGGAAGTGCACAGCGCAATGTGAACTTTTGTTTTTCTTACAGTCCATGTCGCCGGAATCACCCCATCGAGAATTCTTTTTAACTGTCTGGAACAGAAGTTTTTAGGTGTGTTTTAATTTTTTGGCGGTTTCAAAATTTAAAAAAAAAATTTTTTGCGGTTTTTGGAATTTTTTGAAACTTAAAAAATTTTCGGAAATTATTTTTTTTTTATTTTTATAATTTTTCGAAAATCAAAAAAATTGTACTTTTTTGGAAATTGCAAATTTTTTTATTTTTTATTAGTTTTTCGAAATAAAAAAAGCCTTGCATTTTGCTCAATTTGATCACCTTTTATAACCTCCCATCAATTCCCCCATCAATATTTGCTTCCAGAAAGATGACGGCTCCGTCATCCTCTTCCACAATTCTTGTGGAGCGCGCTCCGGACCCGGTGGACACTTTTGAAATTGTCGAAACCTTGGTAAGAAATAAAGCACTCATAGAATTTTTCGTATTTTACCTTTCATAGTGCATAAATTTTAAAAAAAATATTTTTTTCCAGGACGCCCTGAAGCTTAGTCCAGAGAAAAAATTCATGGCCAAAGCAGCGAGTTATGACACAAACTTTGAAAAGTTTAGAAAGTACAAGAAAAGCTATGATGAGCATACCAAAGAGGTCAAGGAGAGGTTCAGAGAGTACTATCAGGTGGGTATTTAAAAAAAAAGTTATGTGAGAGTAAAAAAAAACAACAAAAATTGATGTTTTTTGTTATCTGCCTCCTGGATTTTTTGCTAATTGTAAGCAAACTTTTAAAAATTTTCTTTTGGCAATTTCAACTCATTCACAAGCCGATTTTTAAGGCTACCCTAGTAAACGAATATTGCAAAGAGAAAGTTTTGGCATATTTTTGTTCAAAGCAAGCAAACAGACCATCGTATTTTACAAAAAAAGTGACAAAAAACAGTTTTTTTTGGGGTAGTACCCAACCTCCGAGGTACCCCAAGTGCAACGATCAAATTTTCTTTAAACTTTGCAAGTTTTTTGGACATGGCACGTCAAACTGAGATAAGCTAAAACAGTCCAGTCCGGTGAATGGATTGGCAACTTGCCAAAAAAAGACGCGAAGAAACTTTTTGTCGGGGAAGAAATGGGGAATTTTTGGGGCGAGAGAGTTTTTTGCGCGTCTTTTCTCTGTCTTGTCTGCGAAATCAAGACGAAGTTTTAAAAACCGATAGCGAAGTCTCTATTCCGGTCGCCGGACTCCTCAGTTTGACGTGCATGGGTCAGATATCAATCCTAAAAATTTTAGCTCACGTTTTATAAGGACAGCCGAGATAGTGAACGATTTTTTCGGCCGAGAGAGTACGTAAAATTCGGAGAGCAGTCAGAGAGAAAAACATCTTTTGGCCATATTTTTGCCAGTTTTGTGCGGAAAAGAAATAATTTTTTGCGGAAATGTTACCGTAGACTGTAGAAATAAGCATGAAACTTTAAATGCCCAATTTTGCAAAAAAGTGTCAAATTTTTGCCGAATTTCGATTTAAAAGTCCTTTTTATTTCTGCAAAACAAGAGCTAGGGGTCTTGCAAACTTCTGTAAAAAAATGCTCTAAATTTTGCCAAGTTTCATCAAAATCTGAGCGTCGCACTTGGAGTACTTCTCCTGTTAGTTCAGACATTTTTTTTTGGGTTTTCAACAATTACCTTTGACAATCCCACATGAGAATTATACGTATTTTACAACTTAGCGTCATTTTCCCAAAATTTTTTTAATTATTTCTCGAAAAACGTTAAAAATCCTTATGCAAAAAATGATGATTTTAACCCTATTAATTAACCAAGTATCTTCTTTCTAAAGCTTCATTTTCAATGAAAAAGAAAATTTCAAAATTTCCAGAACCTCCGTCTCTTCGCCAAGGAGCTCGGCTGGCGCACCGAAAACGACTGGTTGATTGAGCCGGAATACAGCGAATACATTGAGCCCGAATTCTATCGCCACTACAAAATCCTGACCAATATTTATGAGCCGTTAATTGAGCTGGATCTCGATGGTTGGGTGCTGGAAGTTCGGGATCTTCTCCATCACAGAGCCGTTGCTCAGAATATGGATCTCAAGAAGATGACCATGGATGGGAAATTGGTGTTGAAGAAAGTGAATAGTAAAAAGATAGAGGACAGTGAAAGTGAGGATGATGCGGCTTGCAGTGAGGAAGAGGAGGCCAAGAGGGAACGGGACAAACAAGTCATCAATACTGTAAGGTTTTGGAGTTTTTAGGGGTGTTTATTGGTATCGGGTAGTATTTATTTTCATAAAGTATGCAGACTTTTTCTCGCAAGTTAAAAAGCCCCAGTTTGCACTGTGTATTAGGACTTTTGCTCTGTGCAATAGATTAGGTTTAGAAGTATGACTCCACCGTTTTTTTTGCTCATTGTTTTGATCAAAAAATGAAAAATTTTTACACTAAACCTTATTGCATTTTTTCGATGCGTTAGATGCTCTTTTCCTCGCATTTACACCTACAGAATATTATAAAATTTCCCGATTTTCCTAGGAGAAAGTTGGTCATGTTTGAAGCTTTATAAAAACAGCTGTGTCAAGTCTTTCTCTACGAAGCGGGTATCAATAGATAGAGTTTTCAGCGTTCTTTCAAATGATCTGAACAGAAATTGCAGGCTCTTACGATAACCTGTAAAAAAATGGAAAACAAGAAAACGGCCGGGTCATACTTCTTGACCCAACGAACAATTTTTTAAAGACCTTTGCAAGTCTCCTCGAGCATTGCAGAAACGGCTGATGTCTTTTATTCGGAAGTTGGTATGCATGTTAATACTTTTTGGCGAATATAAAGTGTTTTCCAAACGGGTAAGGATATGGCCAGAAGTTTTTTCTCTGACCGCTCTCCGCATTTCGCGTACTTTCTTGGCCGCAAAGATCGTTCAATATCTCGGCTGCTCCTGCACAGCACGTGCTAAAACCTTCATTAATATGGCCTATTCCATGTGTGGCTTTCGTTTTATAAGCCTTAGAACTAAATTTTTCAGGGTCTCGACATTATTAGAAATCTCTTTTCCACGACAACTGAACGACTTTTCAACGAGTTGGAGAGCATTCCATTCTTCGACGGTTCGGATCTCTGTTACCGGGAATACACTCGGACTTTTGTCGCTTTCTTTGACCACATCAAACGATGGGAGAGGTTCTTGAGAGTCCGCTACAACTGGTGGCTCTCCATGTCCAGGATTATGAGGTATATAATTCATTTTTTGGAATTAAATTTTTCACCCAATTTTGCAGCGACGCCCAAATCAACGGCCGTTTCGACGAGTATTTCTCCAAATTCCGCCGCTACAACCGCGAGGCCTCAGAGTTTTGTCTGGCCAAGGGCTACGTGCAGACCCTTTGTGCGCACCTCGACGAATGCTCGGTCGATAATTTGAAGTCGACCATTTTCGAGGAGCTCCCAAAACATGATCCAGTTCATATTCAAAGCGAAAATTTGAGGATTGTGGAGGAAAGTGTGGACGAATTGGAGAAAATCTTCGAAAAGCTGAGGGTTTTGGCGGATGTGGACGAAGTTGCGGACGAAAACTTGAAAGTCGACATAAATGAGGGCCTTAAAATCGCGATCAAAGAGGTCTACATGAGGTTCTTGAAGGTGAGTGGGGATTTTTTGGGGAAAAATGAAAAAAATTTTTTTAAATTTGGCATTTTTACAAAAAAAAATGCATTTTTTTTTGGTAAGGATTCCTAGTGCGGCGCTCAGATTTTTTTTTGAAATTTTGCAAACATGTCAGGTATATCCCACATATCAATTCCTGAAATTTTCAGCTCGCGCTTCGCAGGGGCAGCCGAGATATTCGACCGAGATTTTTAAATCAAAAGTATTAAAAAAAGCAACACTTTTTGCTGAATGTTGGCACCAAAAGTTTCATACGGACTTCTATCGTATTGGGAAATATTTCCACAAAAAAACAATTTTTTTCCATGCGAAACTGGCAAAGATACGGCCAAAAAGGTTTTTTTTCTCTGACCGCACTCCGCGTTTCCCGTATTCTCTCGGCCGCAAAGGATTGTTCAATATCTCGGCTGCGCCTGCAAAGCGCGGGCTAAAACTTTCAGGAATTGATATTTAGCCTGAAATGTGTGCAAAATTTATAAAGAAAATCTGAGCGTTGCACTTGTTGCACTTGGGCACGGCAAACCAAAATAGAACAAAAATGTCTCCCGCCCACTTTTGAGTTTCGTCCAAACGAAGTGTCACAACTGACAAAAGCGATAAAATAATTTCGAGAAAAATATTTTTCCATCGAAAAACCACACGAAAAATTCTGTTGTGACATTTCGTGTGAATTTGACCGATACTGGGTGTGCGAAGTGCAAAAACCAGGAGGTAGACTCCCCGGGTTGCCGTGTTGGGTCACTTTCCTTGTTATTTTTCCAACTTTTTTCATTTTTTCAGCTAAAACTCCTGACCCGTCGCTCCCGCATCATAATCGACGCTCGTTCCTGGGGCAAATCGGAGCGTCCCGAGCTCTACGATCGTTGGTATAAATGGGCATTGTCCGATGACTTGGACCTGGAGAAAATGCCTCCAATTGAGACGTTGGAGACCGAGAAATACCTCCTTCTCAAGGCCCAAAATGGCACATTTGTCTACAAGAAGCTGGCTGCGAAAGTCGCGCAATACAGTCAAGACGCGTTCAAGTGTTATGACATGCTGAAAAGTCCGGAGAAATACCAGCCTTGGACGGAGAGCGCGATGGAGTGAAAGTTGGGAAAAATTGGGAGAATTGTAAATATTCCAAAAAATAATAATCAAAAATGTAAAAAATACAGTTAATTTGTTTGAATCGCAATAGTTGCGCATTTAGAGTTGACTCAACAACTCCGGACTGTTAAAAATTAATCATTCCTTCGGTTGTTTGTAGTTGTAATTCCGATAATAAACTTCATAAAGTAGTTTTTATTCATTTTTCTATTCATACAGCCAATATTCTATACGGTACTGTACTTTTTAAGTGCTTTATATCGTATACAACAGAATAAAATACTATTTTATTTAATTCCATGAGATGGGAGTCGAACCAGACACTTTGATTGGCAAAAAAACCCAAAAAAGGCTAGAAATTACAGTAACCTTTAGGGATAAAAAAAGGAAACAGATAAAAAAATTTTCTGCAGGAAGTGGGATTCGAACCCACGCATCGATAACGATACTAGAACGCTCGCCGTTGCACCGCAACGAAGCTCTTCGCTTGAGTCTAGCGCCTTAGACCACTCGGCCATCCCTGCACACTCCCTCCGCACCCGTGTTTGATTGAGAGTGAATTTATCAGTCTATAGAGTAATATTTAAAATACGGTGACCGAGGGAATGTCTTGATAAAATGAATTTTTAGTTCGAAATTGAATAAAAAGTATTTTTTGGCTCACAATAGTCCACAAAGAGCCGTTAAACAACAAAAATTTCAATACTCTACATATTACGCTTACATTTTTATCCCTAAAAATCACTCAAAACAATCCCACATGGCCTCTTAAACAAGACAAATACAGTGGGAATCGAACTTTTCCCCAAATATTACTATAAAATTACAATTCCTCCCAAAAATTAATGTAAAATAAGACATTTACAATTCAAAAAAGTCAAAAAATTTCTGCAGGAAGTGGGATTCGAACCCACGCATCGATAACGATACTAGAACGCTCGCCGTTGCAACGCAACGAAGCTCTTCGCTTGAGTCTAGCGCCTTAGACCACTCGGCCATCCCTGCACACCCTCCCTTCGCCTTGATCCGGTGCAAGCAAGTTTATCAGTCTGTCGGGGAAATAATGTGGAGTTGTTGAAGCAAAATGTCTCGCCTCGTCGCAGAAATCTACAGCCGCGGGTAGCCAGCGCAAATCGATGACTTCAAGTTGAAAAAATTAGGTGTGACATCTTATACGATGGAATTTTTTTTCAAATTGAGAAAAAATTTTCATCGTACAAGATGTCACACCTCATTTTTTCAATCTTCAAAATGAGGGGGAGTGTTCAAAAAGGGGAGAGTTCAGATTGGGGAGAGTTCAGAAAAGGGGGAGAGTTCTGCCGCAACGCCCCTTCTCAGCCGACCGCCCCCTAAAATTTGGCTCACATCAGCTACGCCCCTGATCACAACCTCAAACACATTACATGCTGTTGAATTAGCATTTTATCGGGACCGTTCAAACAGCGACCCATCCGCAATCATGTCCACAACTCAATCCAAAATGGGAGCATGGCTTTGCTTTCTCCTGTTTTTTACCATTGTTTTCTGTGCAACTTGTGGAAATCTATACGTTACGTGTAGAAAAAAGTTTATAGACAAGTCATTGCTTCTTCTCATGACCGATGGAGAACCTATTGAACAAACCGAATTCTTCAAAAGGTTTCAGGAAGTGGGTTTTTGTATGGTCAGCGTTTCTATGCGTTTTTTTGAAAGAATTATTGATTTTACAGACTTGCGAGGAACGATATAAAGACGCAGAACATGAGGATGACATAAGAGATGCGGTTCACTGCATGATAGAGTGCAAGGTGGCACTCTACACACTCACAATCGAGTACTGCGAGAACAACAGAACCCGATTTGAGGCACTGACAAACAATGACAATTTTAGAGAATAAAGGACACGCATATTGCCCGCCAAAATTTTTTGTCTACCTTGAATAAATGTTTGCTTAATTTAAAATAGGCATACACCGCTTCTACTACTACTCGTTCCATAAACATAAACAAATTGCACGGTGAAAGAAGCAATGTAAGATTGGGATACGGATTGAAGGAGGAGTTTTTCACAATCACAACAGTGCCAGAATCATGCCTTAGCGCCCTCGGGCGTTCGAGTTACAACCGTTTTTTTCCAAAGTGGAAAGAAAATTTTTCTTGTCATCCCGTTTTTGGCTTTTTTGCAAAAAAGTGCATAAAAGGTGCATCAACGGAAAAGATTTTTTGGGTATGGGGTTAAATTGTCCTATAGTGTCTAAATGCCGAATGTCCAGGTTCCATAGACCCAGGGGTTCCCGAGATTCAGGTGGAAAGAAAATTTGTTCGATCAGTACCGGACGTGCCTACGCGTAGTTACGAGGCTACGAGGCCCGGCAAAGCATTTGTTGGATGCTCGGTGGACGCTCGGCGAAGGCTTGGCAAAGATTAAAGCATGGCCACTTTTTTACATAATTTTATCTTAGCACCAGTATACGTACTATTTTCCCAACCCAATAAAATTTGCAACTGAAAATCAAAATTAGCATTTTTTTTTTGATTCTGTGACCAATGTCTCTTCAGCGTCCGCATTATAACCCCATTTTTACATCCATGAACGCGTGATGCTCTCCTCTCTTCTGCTCTGTTTATTAATGTATAATTGTGCTGTATCGTCTTACGATTTGTACACCTACTGCAGGAAAGAAGCGGAAGTTAGCAAATATTATGAGTCTAAGGATTACTGTACGGGTACAACCGATGATTATTCAATAAAAGTAAGTCCCGAGTCGACTGTCTTAAGAACTTGTCTTAGCATTTCCGTGAGCATGCGGCGCAACCGAATACGAGCAGAGTCCGAAAACGGACCGACTTGGAAGGCATGTTAGCGAGAATGGTCGTCAATTGCCAGCTTACCAGCGATTTCTGCGAGGAAAACAAAGCAGAGTACCTACTTCTTTAAATAATAACATTATTACGGGGTTTCCCGGACGCTTTGATTGACAAAAACCCCAAAAAGTAAAAAAAATATTGTTGCAGTACATTGCAGTAACCTTAATAAAAGTAACCCGATCAAAAAAAATCTGCAGGAAGTGGGATTCGAACCCACGCATCGATAACGATACTAGAACGCTCGCCGTTGCACCGCAACGAAGCTCTTCGCTTGAGTCTAGCGCCTTAGACCACTCGGCCATCCCTGCACACCCTCGCTTCGCCTTGATCCGGTTGCAAGCAAGTTTATCAGTCTGTCGGGAAAATAATGTCGACTTGTCGTGTCTTGGAATCGCCCATCATCGCTTTGCGACGGCCAGCTGCAGCTGGAGATTTGGAGCGTGAAAGCGACGAGGCACGGCAACCCGAAACAGAAGAAAAATGTTTTTTTGACTTTTGAATTTCGTCCAAACGAAGTGTCAAAATTGACAAAAGAAATAAAATAATTCCGAGAAAAATATTTTTCGGTCGGAAAATCCCACGAAAAATAAATTCTTTTGTGACATTTCGTTTGATTTCAACCGATACAAAATGGGCGAAGTGTCAAAAGGAGCCAGGAAACATTTCGGGTTGACATGCGAGATGAGACACTTTTCTGCGACAAATCCACATTATTTTTCCGACTGATAAACCCGCTTTCAATCAAACACGGGTGGGGAGGGAGTGTGCAGGGATGGCCGAGGGGTCTAAGGCGCTAGACTCAAGCGAAAAGCTTCGTTGCGGTGCAATGGCGAGCGTTCTAGTATCGTTATCGATGCGTGGGTTCGAATCCCACTTCCTGCAGCAGTTTTTTGATCAGATTACAGCAGCTGGAGATCTTGTGCACGAGATTGCACCCTTTGTTTGGCGAAACATTTTGCTGCTCCTCCAACTTTTGAAAAATTTGTGGAACTCACGGGAATGCAAAGAGAAGACAACAATTTTTTTGGAGCGAGTCCTGTCTATAATGACTTTTACATATGTAAAATTTTAAGATGATTGCGCTATTTTCATGCAAGACATGGGAGGCCAAAAATTTATGGCTTTATACATATGCATGTCCTCCCGGTTCCACTGTCACGCCCACTGAAATTTGACGATATTAAAGCAGCCGATCTGTTGCGAGAAACGGTTCACATTCGAATCATGAAGACGGTGTGTTTGGTCTTGATTGCCCTCGCTTTCGCCACCGCAGTTTCCGCGGAGTCTTTGCTCTACAAAACATGCAAACAATTTGTTTTCTTGGAGAGCCTGGAGAAAAAGGACGGATCATGTGGCAAAAAGTATACCGAAGAACAGAAGAGGAAATGTATTGTAAGTGCCATGAAAGCCTCAAATGTTAAAACTTGTAGTATTTCGAAGAACATGCAAAAGGGCCATTTCCCGATCGTTTCTCCGAAGTTGCGATTGTTACAGGACTCATTCATTGCGAGTATCTAAAGTGTCAACTAACTGAGGAATACTGTGAAAGAAACAAGGCCACGTTTGATAGGTTGTCGCCACAGAAACAGTGATATTCAAAATAAATGTGTTGCAATACTCTTAAAAGGATAAATGATTTTATAGTGACCTATAGTAACTTGAAAGGACTTGTAAAATCTAATGGAAATAGGATTTGATCCATCGATTATGACGGTAGGATGCTCGCCATTGCAACGAAAGGAAGCCTTTTGCTTGAACTTCACGTCGGTTTACGTCTGTTTCTTTCGTCTGGCAGTTTCGGCTGTGTACATAGACATAATTATAACATTTTCTTCGTGGCAAGGCTGAATTTAATGACTAGTTTATGTGCCTAGTTTCACGGTGATTTATGTATTTTCACCCGAGATACAGGAGGGCAGAAATTTCACGGGAATTCAGAGTGAAGACAAGATTTTTTCGCGACAAGTCCTGTCTGTGATGATTATTACATATATATATGTCAAATTTTAAGATGATAGCGGTATTTTCACCATGATATGGGACGCCAAAAATTTATGGCTTTATACATATGCATGTCCTCCCTGTTCCACTGCCACGCCCACTGAAATTTGACGATATTAAAGCAAACGATCTGTTGCGAAAGACCGTTCACATTTCCATCATGAAGGCAGTCTGCTTGGTATTTATCGCCTTCGCTTTTGCTACCGTAGTTTCCGCGGAGTATTTTCTGTACACAACATGCAAAAACCTTGTGCTTTTGGAGAACCTGGGGAAAAAGGCCGGGTCATGTGGCGAAAAGATGGACGAAAGTCAGAAGGAACGTTGTGATGTAAGTACAGTATTAGTCTGTCCGGAAAGACGCTGGGGTGATTTTGCACTGTGAGAAAAGAAAAGGTCGCTTTGCACTGTGTTTTTTTGCATAGTGCAAACGGTAGAACTCTTTCCGGTGACTTTGCGGACGGTCTAGCAAAAGCGCTAAATACTGAAATTTTTAGGGGATCGAGGAAATGGCAAAATCGCCACCTTCGGAGGCTAACCTCTATTTTGCGTTGCTTTCCGGAGTCCTTCAATGCAAGTATCTAAGGTGTGAATTAACTGAGGAATATTGTGAAAGCAACAAGGCCATGTTTGATAGGGTGTGGCCACACGAATAGTGATATTCAAAATAAATGTGTTGCAATACTCTTAAGAGAATAAATGATTTTATACATACATAGTGACCTTTAGTAACTTGAAAAAAACTGATAAAACCTGCTGAAAATAGGATTTAATCCATTGACAATGATATTAGAACACATGCCATTGCATCGAAATAAAGCTGTTTTCATGAATTTGGCGCTTTAGGGCATTCAGCCCTCCAATCGTCTGCGTCATAAAGTCGGCTTGCGTTTGCTTCTTGTTCCTTACAGCTTTGACAGTGTTCACAAAAAAAAATGTTGTTTTAAGTTCTGGAGGTAATCGCTAGTTTACTTACCAAGTTTTACGATAATTTAGGTTTTTTCACGCGAGATATGGGAGATCAAAAACTTATGACCCGGAGTATACATATGCATGTCCTCCCTGTTCCACTGCCACGCCCACTGAAATTTGACGATATTAAAGCAAACGATCTGTTGCGAAAGACCGTTCACATTTCAATCATGAAGGCGGTCTGCTTGGTCTTCATTGCCTTCGCTTTCGCTACCGCAGTTTCCGCGGAGTCTCCGTTGTACAAAGTATGCAAAGCATATATTGTGTTTCAGAGCCTGGAAAAAGAAGAAGGGACGTGTGGTCAAAAGTATACCGAAGAAGACAAGAAGAGATGTATTGTAAGTGCCATCAAAGCCGCAAATGTTAAAACTTGTAGTGTGCGTTGTGAGAAAAAAGGTCACTTTGCACTGTGCGATTTGTTGCTTTTTGCACCGTGAAAATGAATTCTTTATGCTGCAGCTGATCTTTTTTTCCACAGCGCAATCCGTAAAAACCTTTCCGGCGACTTTCTGGACGGTCTAATATGTAAAAGCGCTAAATACTGAAATTTTCAGATGTTTGAGGAAATGGCAAAAACGCCACCTTCCCAGCCTGTCGCCTATGTTGCGTTGCTTTCAGGACTTCTGTCATGCAGGTATCTAAAGTGTGAATTAAAGGAGGAATATTGTGAAAGCAACAAGGCCACGTATGAGAAGTTCGCACCCGGAGACGGTCAGTAACACTCACGAAAAATGTGTTGCAATAGTTTGAAGGGAATAAACTGACTTTATACGAACATTAAGTAGCTTGAAAAAAGGGATAAACTATAAGATCTGCTGAAGGCAGGATTTTCATAATTGTATGAATATTAAAGCAAGAAATTGAGGGCGTCGCGACACTTGCGGGCAGCCGGCATTTTTCTTTTATAATTACGCTTTTCCTGCCGTAATCTACGTAGCATAATAAAAATTTTAGATTGACAACTCTCTGGTATTGATAGGTACACGAATCTGTTGAATTCATTCCCTGCTTTCAAAGTTATGGGAGTTTGTTTTCGAAAAATGGTAAAAACGCCTGGTTAACCTTATGGCAACCATTCAAGCCACTTATGCACCTGGAAACGTAATTCGCAACACCTAACAGCCGTATCTATCGTTTGGGTTTCCTGTTGCAAGCAAATGTTGGCTGATTTCCAAACATGCTTGCAGAATTTCCGCGATTCCCCAGCTGCCCGCAAGGTAGTTGCCCACAAGTGTGGGCCGCCAAATGGAGGCGATACACTCCTCAATCGACCATTCGCATTCCAAGGCTTTATACATATGCATGTACTTTCCCACTATTCCACTGCCACGCCCACTGAAATGTGACGATGTTAAAGCAAACCATCCGTTGCAAACGACCACATTCCAACCATGAAGGCAGTCTGTGCGATCCTGATTGTCCTCGCTCTCGCTACCGCAGCTTCCGCGGAGTCAATGTTGTACGCCATGTGCAAAAATGACATTGCTTTGCAGGACCGAGAGAAAAAGGAGGGCATATGTGGTGCATGTTTTAATGAGGAATTCAAACGGCTATGTGATGTAAGTGCCATCAAAGTCTGAAATGTTGAGACTTCCAGGAACTCGAGAAGAAGCAAAAAGACCATTTTCCTGGCGAATTTGCGATTGTTCGAGGACTCCTTTCTTGCGGGTATGCAAAGTGTCAACTAACTGAGGAATACTGTGAAAGAAACAAGGCCACGTTTGATAGGTTGTCGCCACAGAAACGGTGATATTCAAAATAAATGTGTTGCAATACCCTTAAAAGGATAAATCGATGTTGTAAGGACCTTTAGTAACTTGAAAAAAACTAGTAAAGTCTGCTGGAAATAGGATTTCATTCATCGGTAATGATGTTAGGAAGCTTGCCATTGCATCGAAATAAAGCTGCTCGCTTGAATTTGGCGCCTTAGGGCATTCAGCCCTCCAATCGTTTGTGTCATAAAGTCGGTTTACGTTTGCTTCTTCGACTGTGTTGATGCATAAAAATTTTTTCCACAAGTTCTGTGTCGAAAGGCCCGACAGCCCAGCAACGAGACAAGACGAGAGCTCAAGAGTCAAGTGATTTATTCAGTGGAAATGAGGCCTTTTATAGGGAAGCCCCACGTAGGAAAGTACAATTAAATTTGAATAAATACAGATCCTTCCTCGTGGGAAAATCGTCTAAGCTCGCTCGTTCCGCCTCAAATTCTGGATGTAATCACTACTTCGGGAAAATAATGAAGTTCGCCCATCATTGCTTCGCGACTGTTAGCCGGGGATATGACGATTATATATTTGGCGTGCGACTGCGGCGAGTCAAAGCATTTTCTGCGAATAAAAAAAAAATTTTCTTATTTCTGTCTGTCGGGAAAATAATGAGCACTCTGTCGCATCGAAAACAAACGAAAAAAATTTTGTCCCCAAAAATCAAATTGGCTTTTCACTTCAGCGACATCACCGACGCAGCGACATTTTGCTCATTATTTTCCCGACGCACTGATAAACACTGATTTTCAAAAAAGTGATGTGATTTCACAGCACAAGACATCACATTTTTTCGAAATTTAATTCGTCGGTTTGTATGCAAAGTGTCTCAAGGTGACGCCCAAAATAGCATAAATATTGAACCAAACAAGAAGAGGCAACAGTCCCCAATCGTTTGTAGCATGAAGTCGGTTTGCGTTTGCTTCCTTCTCCTCGCCGTTTCCACCGCATTGGCGGCCGACTCGGTTCTGTACAGGTTGTGTAAGAATTTCGTTGGGGCGCAAAATATGTGGAAGGCGGAAGGAAAGTGTCCTAGAAGCTTCAAACAGGGCGAAGAAGCGGCCTGTAACGTAAGTGCGGACTCTTCAGAACACTTATACGTTGCTACACGAGAGACGGTGTTAAGGGCAGGTTGATTCAAAAGCTCGCAAATTTGCAAGTGGAACCAGAAACCTGGGACACGCTAAATTTTGAAAAAATACCCATAACGTTCGAGTACTGAAGCCAAATGGGATGAAGCTTTACATAGCTTATTCCTGGAGGCTGATTAACACTTGTGTAGAATTTCATGACATTTGGAAAGAAACCCCCCGAGATATGATCGAAAAATGGGGTGGAAAAAAAACCTGGGACGCACTGTATCTCGGCGCAGATATTGGTCTTATTTTCTGTTAAAATTTCCGATGACCTTGTGCGGTGTAAAAATAAGTATTTTTAGGACCTCGAGAACTTCAAACCGCCGTATGAAAACGATGAACAAGAGCGAAACATTATGATGGGAGTAATGGGATGCAGGGTAACAAGATGCGAACTCACCGACGAATATTGCGAAAGTAACAAAGCCACACTTGATCGCCTATCCCCGAAACAAAGTAGGCAATGAATAAATGCGAATGAATAAATTAAAACCGTTGATGATGGAATTTCTTGTACTAGTCGCGTTTGCAGAGTCGTCGGAGTGATTTCGGCCGCGTCCCGACTTTTCGGGCCAACACAGTTCGGGTCGACACAAAAACAATAGATACGGGGATGGATACCCAAAAAAAGGTACAGTGGGGGCCTGATCCAGTGGCAAAAAAACGTGCAATTTTGCATCCGGGAAGTATAAAAATGTGGCAAAATGCTTCTCTCTCCATGTGAAAAAACCTTTTTTGAAGGGTCCCTCACAAAAAGAGCGGGCGCGCTTTTAAAATCTGATTTTTTTCTCTTGGAAAAGGAGGTATTTGCCATATTTTTTGATACTTCCTGGATGCAAAATGGCACGTTTTTTACCACTGGACCAGGTCCCTCACTGTAGTAGGAAGTGCCTACGAGGCCTGGCAAAGCCGTCGGATGGTCGGCGGAGGCTCGGCTGAGGCTTGGCAAAGACTTGCAATATGTGAACTTCTTTTAATTTTACATTTTACTAGCGTTAGTTTATTTCACCCTGAGTCACTGTACCATATAAAAGACCAAAAATTTGCGGCAAAAAACGAAGATCCGTAAGTTTTGTTTAGATATTATTGATGTGAGTACATGTAAAATACCTCAAAATAGGTGATACGTCCTTATTATTTCTGCTTACTAAGCCTCTTATTTTCTTATAGCCTCCCCTATGCATACAAGGAAAAACCGACAAGATATACTAGTATTGTTGACCCGAACTGTCGCTGATCCGGAAAGTCGTAGTGCCATTTTTTCGGCTCATCTTTTCACACGCCAATAAAAAAATTCAAATAAATTTCGGGGGTGTCCGCCAAAAACATATCAAATTAACATAACAGCGTTCAAATTATTCAAAGACAAAAGACGTCAATTTCACACATTGCGATGAGAACCGCTGTAATTTTGTCAATACTTCTGCTAAATTCCCTGGTGCATTCGCAGGTTGGGAATTCGTACGAGATCTGTAAAGCCAAGGTCTATCAACGCGCGAATCTGGCGCACGCGAAGAAATGCAATACGGATGACCCGAAATTAAAGCAACATGAAACGGTATGGTCATATTTGATTAATTACGATACTAATACTAGCACTATACTATATATTTAGAAAGTTGTAAAAAATTGGTTGGATGGTGCTAACGCGGTTGGTTTGATAACCAAACGTCCTATACGAATGATGAAATTGTCGAAAATAGGTCTTTTAAGTTTGCTACATTTTCAGGTGTTGGAAAGGCAGTGTCAAGAAGCACGAACGTGGGGAGAGAAACGGGAGTGTCTGATCGCCCTCTTCAATATTAAACTTTTACTGTGCACTATTAGCTTGGATTATTGCAATGAGAATCAGTCAGAATTTGAAAAATACTGAGTCAACGGAGAGTTTATAGTAGTAGTTTCAACATAAATTATTTGAACAGTCAATTATTTTTTTGTTTGTAAAGATACCAAGGAGAGAGAATCCAGGAAGATATCTCCACCAAGTCTGCAAGGAGAAATTGATCGGGTTGCAAGGCAAATTCGTCCAGACGAAGTGTCACAACCGACAATTCGCCGAAAACCCCCACGAAAAATTAGTTATGACATATAAAATTTGCGACGAAAGGTCCAGGCACTTTCTGGAACGACTAGTACTACGCCATTTCAAAAGTGCGTAAACTTTTTGTCGCAGGCCGCACAGTGACCATTTTTCACAGTGCGTTTGACCTTTTGCACTATGAAATCGAAATATCGCGGCGCGTAAGCTTTTCCCAACTACGTCGCCGCGAATTTTGCGCGGACGACAGACGTTTGCACATTGCGAAACATTCCAAAATGGTCCGCACACTGAGGCAGAATGCACTGTGCGGCGCGCCAAAAGGCGGAAAAAAGTCGACGCACTTTTGAAATGCCGTTATACTAACAGCGGAAGTACTCCAAGTGCGACGCTAAGATTTTCTTTAAATTCTGCACACACATCGGGTATGGACTAAATATCAATTCCTGAAAGTTTTAGATCGCGCTTTGAGGGCGCCGCCGAGATATCGAACGATTTCTACCGCCGAAAGAGCACGCTAAACGTGGAGAGCGGTCAGAGAGAAAAACGCTTTTTGGCCATAACTTTGGCAGTTTCGTGTGGTATAACGAAAGGACAATGGCGGGAAGATTTGGCAGTCGAGAGGAGAACGGCAAGGATTTGATAGTAGACCGGTCAACGGAAGAGAGGTTTTATTCGCACACAGACGGGGAAAAGAAAAATGATACGGCCGCTCAATGGGAGCGGGAAAACCAACTGTTTAGAATAGGGAAATTGATCTTATGAAGACTTTGTCCTTTGATTCTATGCAAATTCGTGGAAAATGATTGGCGGTTTCAGTGAAGTCGCCAACATGCCCACTTTCCTCTTCTTTCCTTGACCATGGGTTGACATCCTTTGGGTTCTTCTGTGGCTGGAGGGTTTGGATTGGGTACATCAGGGCAAGTGCAGGGCATGAGTGCGTCCGGGTGTTCATCTTCGAATGGCTGTCCATGTGAAAGTTCCAGGTCTATCAATTTGAATTTGCATTGGGTGCGTTGTTCCATCGGTAGTTGATTCAACAGAAAGTTACATCCAGAGCGAAATGGGGAAGAGGAGAGAGTTTCGGATGAAATGTCATAGGGGGAATGGGGTTGAGGAAGATTTGTGAAACCAATATTGACCAGCGGCAATACCTGCCCTCGATCCACAATTTTCTTACGATGCCATTTACGATGACAAACATGGGGAACCATAACGAGATCAGATGGATTTCCAAAATTCAGAGGAGAGTCTTGGGGAGTAGAGGAAGATTTAACCAAAGAAATCACTGAGTTTTCCGAACCTGATACGATAGGTTGCGATACGATAGGGTGCAATGCAATAGAAGACGAGACGATTGGGTGTGAAATGATAGCGGAAGGCAATTGCGGAATTTCTTTGGGTCCATTCAAACGAAAGCTTCTCATTGGAACCTCGGGGATAGAGGATTGAACTGGGTTTGACTTTGGAAGAAGGGAAAGTGCTGGATTTGGAATAGGGATCACGGGTTTTGGAGTAGGGCTCACAGGAGTTCCGGACTCGCTCGGGGGAAACAATTTACCACAGAGAGAAACATGATGTCGACCGTTACAATTCGAACAAGAATGAGAGCACATAGCAACGATATGACCACGTTGGAGACAAAGAGGGCAGAGCCTATTCTCACGAACAATCCGCTGACGAGAATCGAAATCTTGGACGATCTGACAGGTAGCAGAATCATGAGGATCGGAACAGAAGGCACAATAAGCAGGAGTCAGGTTTGGATTGGGGAAAGTGGGATTGTCAGACCGAGATTGAGGAAAAGAACGAGTATCCGGATTGGCGGGATTGAACAAGGTTCTTGGCTGGGAATTCGAATGAAGGAATAAGGGGGAAATTTCTGGAGTCTTTAGAAAATTCTGCGATACTGCAAATTCGCCAAAACGGGAGGACATGATTCGAAAGCCTTCGGGGGAAATTTGGTCTGTTTTTTCAATTTCAAGTTCAGAGAAAGAGTCCTGACCGAAAACGAAGAGGATAGGGGACTTATCGGGAGGGGAAGGAGTACCAGTAAAGAACTGGTGGAGGTCGGGAACCGCAAGAGCTCTGAAGCTTACAATTGGCCCATTCTTGGATTTTAGGGGTACGGTTACCTCACGAGTTTCAATCACAGTTTTGACTCCACCTACGGGAACTACGGTTCGGGGAATGACAGGACCAAGGGGAAGACGAATTCTGGCACAAAGAGAGTATTCTACGAAGGTGGCATCGGAACCAGTATCGATAAAGGCTCTAATTGGATCAAGATGATGGTCGAGAAAGATCTTAGGAGACATCAAATTCTCGTACTGGTCAAGGATAACGCCTCTAATCTGTATAGCGGGAGTTGGGGAATTCTGAGTGGGTGGTACCGGTATTGGAGGAAAATGAGTCTGCGCCGGATTCCGAGCACTATTAGTACTATTATTAGGGAAAGAGGATCTCTGGTTGGATCGATCAGGGAAGGAGGAGGAGTTTGGGGAGAAACGATTACTAGTGGAATTATTGGCAGTAGACACAGACTGATTCTGTGAGGGGAATTTCTGATAACACACCGATACATGATGATTCTTTTGACAACACGAACATCTGGGGGATCGGCATGCCGCTTCCGAGTGATTAGACCTAAGGCAACGAAGACACAACCCTTTCTGCCTAATAACTCGCTGCCGCTGGGAAACTTCGGACACAGTACGACAGTCCTCAGAACGATGGTTTCGGGAACAAAATACACACGAATCCCGGGACTGGGCATTCTGTGAAAGGGGGAAGGGACGGGAATCAAAGTTCGAAGACTTGAAGAAATTGCGGGCTTCTCGACGATCGGATGCGTCTTCAGCTCGGAACTGTAATTTGTCGCGGGTTCTAACAATTACTCCTAACTCATTAATCACGTTCTCCACTGTTGGGGACAAGGAGGATCGATCAAAGGTCGCAACGATAGCTTCATGGATTTTGTACGGGAGGGAATCAAAGAGACAAGACAGGAACAAGCTTTCTTGGGCCTCGGATGCAGATTTCAGGATGCATGCACTGAGATCACGGAGTTGGTAGTACCAAGCCGTAAGTTCTTTATGATCTCGGGGGACGGACAGTCTTTTATCTTTCAAAATTTTCATCAATCTATGAATTTGCTCATCTGAATCACCGTAACGATCTTCGAGTGATTTCAAGATGATAGCTAGACTACCTTGTCGGACGGGAACTGACTGGATACTATTCAATGGCTCACCACTGAGGTTCGAAACAACGAAAGCGATAAGCGCTGTTTCTGGGTATTCCCTATTATAATTGATGACTTCATTCAAGAGGGCAAAAAACATGGGAAATTCTTCCTTTCTACCACTGAATCGAGGAATTTTCGCTTTTGAAAGTTCGAAGGCTAAGGGTTTGGTCGAGGAGGTATTGACTTGAGGAAGTTGAGGAACTACAGGTGGAGAGGGTATCGGGGGATTAATGGGGGGAGGACAGATTTGCGTAGGATTCAAGGAAGTGGGACCTCGGGGGATAGGATTTGGAATGGTCAAGGACGTAGAAGCAATAGTCTCTTCAAGATTGCCAATGATCTCTCGACAACTTTTCATCCAATATTTTATTATAGCCGAGAGCACATTGCGTTCAATTGATGCGAGAAAGCCGGTTACCAAACTGCCAGCCACGTTTTCCGCATGACAAAAGTTAGTCAAATTCAAAACTAAATCTCTGGACTTATTCTCTAAGCTACGTAACTCAGTCAAGGTCGATCTCAAACGGTCAAGGGTAACGGTAGGGGCGATACTGTAATCATTGAGTTGGTCTAGTGGGCGCTCGAGGTCTTGGAGGATGTGTAACAAATCACTCTCATAGAGCATGTGGATATTATGGCAAAGAACTATAATCTCTTCTATGGTTTTGTTCTTTCCAACACTTTTAAAGGTTTCGCGATCTTGAGTATCATTGACTAGCTCATCGCCATATTGGCTCAGATATTCAATATGAGTGTGCCAAGTGTCTTTAGAAAAGAGCGGGGAAGCCAAGATTTGGGAAGGGACTAATGTGATTGATTCTTGGGTTTTAGGCGAGGAAACCTCTTCGGGTTCCTGTGGATCGGTCATTATGCTTTACTGTAGTGCGTGGAGGATGATTATGGGACACGGCAAGGAATTAAAAAAAGGGAATTAAGAGAAGCTATGATACAAAAGGTTTTTTTTTATGTTTTTTTTACAGGGAATATGTATGACGAGGGATATATACGAGAGAAGAGGAAGTTAAATTGGACAGTGAATCGAGGGAAGTCTAGGTGGAATACTAGAGGGTATGGGTATGGATTCACTACGAAAAACGATTAACTTCGGGGAAAAATGGAAATGGGTAAGGGGAAGGGCAAGATTATGGTCACGAATACCGCTTGTTCTACGGATAGCCGCAAGCGGGGCCTCTAGTGGGACTGGGATTCTAAAGACAAAGGGGCGAACACCCTGGCCAAAAGGTGACGCAAAAAAAAGGGAAAAATCGCTTGTCTTACCGTACTTCGAGGTCCCCGGCTCAGCCCCCATATAACGAAAGGACAATGGCGGGAAGATTTGGCAGTCGAGAGGAGAACGGCAAGGATTTGATAGTAGACCGGTCAACGGAAGAGAGGTTTTATTCGCACACAGACGGGGAAAAGAAAAATGATACGGCCGCTCAATGGGAGCGGGAAAACCAACTGTTTAGAATAGGGAAATTGATCTTATGAAGACTTTGTCCTTTGATTCTATGCAAATTCGTGGAAAATGATTGGCGGTTTCAGTGAAGTCGCCAACAGTGGAAAAATTAAATTTTTTGTAGAAACATTATCCTTTACGGTTGAAATAGGCATGAAACTTTTCGTGCCGAAATTCGGCAAAAGGTCCTAAATTTTCGCCGACTTTCGATCTAAAAATCTCGGTTGTTTCTGCACAGCGCGAGCTAGGATTCTCGCATACATCTTAGAAAAAATTATTCTAAATTTGTGCCAAGTTTCATCAAAATCTGAGCGTCGCACTTGGAGTACTTCCCCTGTAAGTAAGAAATAAAAGTTTATTATTACAAAAACGGACAACATGAAATCTGACGTAATTCTGATCGTGCAAAAAACAGTTGAACGAAGCCGCAAAGTGGACTAAAGTCATGTGGTCTGTTTCGGGGTACATAAGACGGGCTAAAATTAAAAGCATTAAAACACTTTTGTTGTGCACGGGCGTTCAAAGAAAATATGACCTACCCCTTGATATTGATCTGTGTCTTCGACCTGCACATATTTTCCCGTTTTGTCCAGTTTGTAGTAGTAGTCTTTAGATGGATCGGTCGGCTTTGTAAAGCCTGGTGGAAGAAACCCAAGAACGTTGACATACTCGTGGTCGCCCATCCAAATAAATCCTTTGTTTTTTTCATGCTTCAGACCGATCGCAATATAGCCAGCAGTAAAATTTGTCCAGTATGGTTGCAGAAAATCTGTAAACATTGTATAATAGTTCAGCCGTAAAAAACTGCTTGGTAAACAGTTAACTATAGTTTTAAAGTATATTTGAATGCTTACCAGTTAAAAACAAGTAGTTTGTGATGTCAGGGATGTAGCCCGGGTTCCAGCTTCCACACAGTGTACCAAATTGGCTCAGCGTTATAGGTGCACTTGTCTCATCGAACTGAAAAAGGATTTAACAGTGTGCAACTCACAATCACTTTTAATCCTCTGTTCGAGGAACCAGGTAATTTTCTTTGTAATGTACAATGTGCAAAATCGTGAAAACTTAGCATTCAAGTTTCTTCTGGCAATGCGAGTTTTACTAGGCGAGCCAAAAAGACAGTAAATCCACTCACTCCGTACGTAATTTCTGGCGGCGAAATCGAATTGGAAGTCGGAGTCCCTCTGAACGGCAATTGGCCCGGGAATTTGACTGGCTCAGCGTGGCACCAGGAAACCAGCAAAGCTACGCAAACACAAACCAACTTCATGTTGATTATGATAAGCCAAACTGTCAAACACCACTTTTATAGCATTTCCAACGCATTTCTGCGAGATTTTTGGTATTAACCAAGAGAAATGACAAATCATACAGTGCGTTTGATTTTGCCGGCGAATTTTGAGTCGACAAAAGGTGATATTTTCAGTAGATAATAACCATGACCTTTGAAGACGAATAGAAACAAATATTTTGGAAAATTAGTAGTAAAGTGGCTTCGCAACACTTACAAGCAAGTAGTACTGTAAAGTAGAAATTTTTTAAATTTTTTCATAAATACTCGATTTAGGGGTTTTCGATGGTGCTGATTTCGAAAATGACATTCATTTTTTTTTGTTTTCCTTAAGTAGTGTTGTAAAGTAGTAATTTTTTGAATTTTTCAAGAACCCCTAAATCGAGTATTTATGGAAAAAATTCAAAAAATTTTTACTTTACAGTACAAAGTAAATATCAAAAAAGTTAATGTCATTTTCGAAATCAGCACCCTCAATTACCCCAATTTCGACGCTTGTATCGAAGAAAAATAATGCTTTTTGGTTTCCCCAATCGTCCCAGTTCCTTCCAAGCGCGCTTCAAAAGGAGTTTTTTTAGTTGGAGAGGGAAGCATTTTACTACATTTTTTTTCAATACTTTCCGGATCCAAAATGATACGCTTTTTGTCATTGGATCAGATACTGACTTGGCCAATCAGACCGACATTTTGTACGGTACCATTCGAGGAGGCTCGACAATGCAGTTCTTTCAGGTGAGCAGTGGAGATTTGTGTAAAAAAAGCGTAGAGCAATATTGAAAGCTACAGTGGGGGCCTGATCTCATCATCCTGCATCGCAAAATCTTGTCGACCCGAATTGACCCTAAAACACGTGCAATGGGGGACCTGATCCAGTGGCAAAAAACGTACCATTTTGCATCCGGGAAGTATCAAAAATGTGGCAAAATGCTTCCCTCTCCAAGTGTAAAAAAACTTCGTTTTGAAAGGCGTGCCCATTTCCCTCATAAAAAGAGCGGGCGTGCTTTTGAAACCGGCGTTTTTTCACTTGGAGAGGGAAGCATTTTGCTACATTTTTGATACTTCCCGGATGCCAAATGATACGTTTTTTGCCATTGGATCAGGCCCATCACTGTACGTGAGGTTTCCATTAATAAAGAAACGCGTTGTTTAATGGATACAAACTTTTGTTCGTGTCGCAACTCCTACGCAAAAATCAGCGGGGCGTTTCATAGAATTGTCCGTCAACGGAAAATACAGTGTGATTGAGTAGCTTGTGAAGCTGAAATTTGTTATGTAAACTGCTGTTTTTAAACCTTTCTCAGAAACAATTGAAGAAGAGACCTTGCAAACTACACAATAAAAGCCAAGGCGAATGGGAGAACGGCCGGTTATCTGACCTTACTTACACTCTGTTTGATTGATATTTACAAGGGAAGAAGTCCAAGTTGGACGCTCAGATTTTAATGAAACTTTTTACAAATTTAGAAGCAATTTTTTTGTATGAGATAAGAGAGACTCCTTTGCAGAAACGACCGAGATTTTTACATCAAAATTCGGATTTTTGGCAACTGATATCTAGCCCATGCTCGATCTGTGGGCAAAATTTAAAGAAAATCTGATCGTCGCACTTGAGGTACTTTCCTTCTGTAATAGTTTCCGAGTTTTCATATGTTACGAGCATGTCCATCTTTCAGACACCATGAACGTCCTTCGCTTTGCATTGTTGCTAGTTTTGGCTCTTCTGGGATTGGCCTCGGCTCAAAATCTGGGATCTTCCGACGAGAAATTGTAGGTTTTTCGCTTTTATATACCGTGGAACATCTGTGCAACGAACCTCTGTACACAAAAACCTCTCTATAACAAACAATTTCAGCGGCCTCAAGAGTCAACTTTAGGCCGAAATAAACCTTATAACGAAATCCTTCTATAACGAATATTTTTGACGCCCATGGCTATGTCCCTGGGCCCTTACGATTCGCTGTGTACAGGTTCGGCCGTAATTTTTACTTTGTAATGACCAATAACGTTAGGATCTACGTATACCCTGATCAATCAAATCGATATATTTTTTAACCTTCAGAATCCGTCAACGCCGCGGTTACCGCAATCGTCGTGATACCACAGTAAAAATTGTCGCCCAACCTCCTCTTCTTCTGAACAGTTCAAATACTTTGCCGGTTTTTAAGAAGATAGAGTAAGACAGAGGTTTCGAGATACGCTTGAAAACAATAAATAAAGTTTTTAATGAGGCTCGGACAATTTTTATTCATAGAGGAAATGCTCCAAGAGCAACGCTCATATTTTGATGAAAATTGTCTCAAATTTAGAACTTTTCGGGTGCTATGGATCGCGTCGGTTCGTCGTTGCATGCATGGAGGAGGACGGGAGAAGGCTTAGTTAGTAGAAATAATAACATTGATCGGATAAGTTCATATATTGCAAGTCTTCGCCAAGTCTCCGCCAAGCCTTCCAGAAGATACGGCCAAAAATTGCTTTTCTTTCTGGCCGTTCTCCGTATTTCGCACACTCTCTCGGCCGCAAAGATCGTTGAATATTTCGGCTGTTCATGCAAAGCGGAAGATAAAACTTTCACGAATTGATGTATAGCCTATGCCTGACGTGTGCGTAAAGTTGAAAGAAATCTAAGAGTTGTATTTGGACGCCTTCTACTGTTAGTTCATCTCCTAACCATAAGCTGCAACAATGATACAAAACGGGGCACTGAGCAAATTTTTTAGCGAAAGGGCTAAAAAATAAAATTCTAAAGGTTAGGGGACCGCACCGCTAAAGAGTGAGTCCGAAAAATTAACTCAACTCCACTGATGGCCTGATGACCAAACGCCTTTTCTTCGGCCTTGATTCATGCACGAAAACGAGATGCAGAACCCTCGCATAAGCCTTAAAAAATCGCTCAAAATGCGAACTTCGCATACATATTGTAAGCCAATCGCTTTCACAAAAGGTGTTTTATTCCCAAAATAAATATTATATAAGCAATGTTAATCCACAACCTCCGGCTCATGTTCCGGCCGTTGTTCCGCTTCATCCGGTCCATCGCACAGACAATTCCTCCCGTAACAAACACCTCCTCCCCATCGTTTTCGTCGACAGAAAACCTCACATTTTCTTGGGTCACATATCGCACTGCTTTGGATGAGTTTCAAATCCCACAAATTATGCGGTTGTAGGGCCACAATTTGACTGTAGAACAACGCAAACGCCAGACAACTCATTCTCATGTGTTTTTTAGAATAACAGATACCTCTCCGTTAAAATTCGGGGTCATTTCGATCCTCGAAAGCCTTAAATACCCTGCAAATCGGGTCCAGATCACCCGTATTCACCATTTTGGAGAGATTTTCGAGGAAAACAGCTCAATTCGGTCAATTTCTCGCTGTTTCGCCACGGATTTCCCAGTATCAGCTCAGAATTCGATGCAAATAATCGGGTTGATCTCTCACGATACCCTTGATTCACTCGCATTTTCAACAAACTTTAACTCGACCCACAATTCTTCAGCGAATTCGTATATTCCTTTCCATTTCCCGGCGCTGACTCAAACCCCCTTCGACAAATTCCCCATCACAATCCACACGGTCTAAGTCGTTAAGGCGGCCGAAAAAAGTTGATGGATGGAAACCCTTTGGTCGCGCTGTAACACCTACGCAGAAAACAGCGACATGTTTCGGGGAACGGTCCGTCAACGGGGGCCCGAGAAAACAGCTCTAACCAGGAGTTTTTAGCGTTGCACTTTGTTTGTCGAACTGTTTTTCTGACGCCATGGGGAAGTAATTGAAGAAATGGGTCTTACAATACAAGCAATAAAAGGCAAGGCGGAATGAGAGGGGGGCTGGAGAACGGCGGGTCGTCTGACTTCATGTCAGAGTTTATGAGGGCTGATCAGGGGTGTTGCTGTAATAGGTTTTGGATGACTTTCTCCAGTAGACTGATAATTAGTCGATTTATTGCCTCTTGAAGAGAAGGGAATGGTTTTATCAGTCTGTCGGGAGAATAGTGAGCGCAACGTCGCTGCGCCGGTTGCGTCGCTGAAGTGAAACGCAACTCGATTTTTGCGACACAATTCACTTTCTAGACTGCGATGGGATTTTCGATGCGGCAGGGTGCTCGTTATTTTTCCGACAGACTTATAGGATCTGCAGTGAAACCTCTTTACAACTTATCGTAATGGGCTAAAAAATTTATTCGTTACAGAAGGGGTTCGACGCATGAAAGCTCGCTTATCTCTGAAATATAATAGTTTGCTATTGGCAGGGTTTGCAGTAAGGCCGGTTGTATAGAGATACTCTCCATCGTTTGGTTAACAAAACAGCAGTCTTCAATGTTAGATAGATCAGGCAAAACGCTAGGCCAGACCAAGTTAAAGGAGAAAACGCTATAAGATTAATTAACTCTAATTTTTTACTGGTCGGGAAAATAATGTGGATTCGTCGCGCCTTGCAATCACCCTTCATTGCTTTGCGACGGCTTGCCCTGGAGATTTGGCATGCAGTCACATTGGCGTGCGACTGCGATGAGACAATATTTTGCTGCGATAATCCACGTTATTTTCCCGACAGACTAATAATTTCTCCCCCAGAACATCGGTAACTAGCTTTACGCCACTATAGAAAATCGTGATTTCTCTATAAATTTTATTACAATTTTGCGCTCTACAGCCAGTATAACCATTACTCGTGAACTGGCAATTCCCACATTTGCACTTTTTGTTTATAAGTTTAATTTTTTCAGAAGCCATGAACTTCCTTCGATTTGGGTTGTTAATCGCCTTCGTTCTTCTTGGACTGGTCTCAGCTCGATCCCTGGGAGCGTCGGATGACACTTTGTAAGTTTTTACAGCCCTTACGTCATACTAACAACATCATGTACTCATAACCCGCTCTTTTATCATGTTTTTTTTCAATAACAACTTATAAAAATCTTTCAGGATCCGTCAACGCCGCGGCTACGGATATGGCGGTGGTGCTCCTCCACCACCACCTCCTCCACCTCCGCCACCACCCCCACCACCACCTCCACAATCCTCCTATGGATACGGCAGCTCGTTCGGCGGTGGCGGCGGCGGCGGATCCTACGGCGGCGGTTCCTTCGGCGGCCAAGGCCTGGGCTCCTCGTACGGCGGCGGTTACGGCGGCTCCTCTTTCGGCGGACAGTTCGCCGGAGGCGGATACGGATACCGCGGTTAATAAATTTTAAACACTTATGTATCATGTGTAGTAATGTAAAGATAGCTTGACGAATAAATTTGAATTTACAATTTTGAAAGCGTATAAGTCAAGTGATCCTCTTTGATTTGGATAGAGCTACAGTGACGGACCTGATCCTGTGGCAAAAAATGTACCATTTTGCACCCGGAAAGTATCAAAAAATGTAGCAAAATGCCTCCCTCTCCAAGTGAAAAAACTTGGTTTGAAGGGCGCGCCCTCTCACAAAATGAGCGGGCGCGCTCTTGAAATTGAAGTTTTTTCGCTTGGAGAGGGAAGCATTTTGCTGCATTTTTTGATACTTCCTGGATGCAAAATGGTACGCTTTTTGCCACTAGATCAAGTCCCCCACTGTACGGGTTTTGTGGTCAACGAAAGTTCGAGTCCACGATTTTTGACCTGAAGAATAAGCCAAGTCTTTCTCTTTAGGTCAACTGTATCTCTCAAAAAATTTTTGATATCAGTCTGTCGGAAAAATAATGAGTACATTGTCGCTGCGCAGATCGTGTCGCTGAAGTGAAAATGAATTTGATTTTTCTGTGACACAACTCATTTTCTCGGCGGCGATGCGATTTTCGATGCGACAGAGTGCTCATTATTTTTCCGGCAGACTGATATAAGATTAATTAACTTTTCTGTGTGTTTTAATCTGCATTTACCGAGAGAACAGTAAATCCAAAAATGAGCGGGAAAACAACACGATGCTTCAAAAAAAAATTTTTTTCTGTTACTTTATCTTTTAGTTTTGCAAAAAATTCAACAATTCATAAAAACTTTAATAAAAATCAACAAATTTTTCAACAATTTTTTTTCACCAACAAGCTCTGAGATCTCATATATCCTTCCATTCCCCCTAAATCTGCTCTACTTTTACCTCTTTCTCTTCTTCCTTCACTTTCTCATATACTTCTATTTCCTCTTTCACTTCTTTCTCTTCTTCTTCCTTCACTTTCTCATCTACTTCTATTTCCACTTTCACTTCTTTTACATCCACTTCCATTTCCTCTTTTTTCTCCTTTTTTGTCCATCGAATCACCGGCAATTCGGTTCCCATTCTCGCGGGTACCCCAAATTCATTCGGAATTTTGTTTTTCTCATTCTGCATAATGGCCGGAGGAATGATTATGGCCAAATACCCGCGTTTTTGCCGAGACTTTTCGATCAGATCCGGCTGGTCGATTAACTTAGCGTTGACTTCGATCAAAAGTGCGCGAATTCCGGCGCGAATTGTGTGTTGAGTGCCGTCCTTCGCCGTGATAATGCAGAGTTTTGTCTCGGGTTGAAGGCGGAGACCTCCCTGAAAAATTAAAACTTGATGGTAAAAAATCTCAAAATTTTTGAAGAAAAATTAGTACTCAAACTTTCAAAATAAATGCTCTAAGCTCTATTAATTTCAAGTTTCATCAAAATCCATGGATTTTTCATCAAGTTACAGGAATTTTTTTATCAAAGTCATCATGGATAATATAAATGACAAGAACTATTCCTGAGACCCTGCAATTTCATTCAAATTTTACACAAATACTCTAAATGGGTTATATTTCAAGCCCTAAAAATTTTAGCTCGCCATATATACCGGTAGTCGAGATATCACAAAATAATTTTTAAGAGAGACTACATAAAAAGAAAAGACGGCCAGACAAAAAATAAATTCCATAGGGAGCTACGACTTTCATATATCTCTTAGAATACTTTAATCTACATCTATGCCAAATTTCATCCAATTCTATTCATTTTCCATCAGCCTACGCACTTTTTTTTCAAAGTCATAATGGATAATATCCAAATCTCCTATTTTTTCCGAAATTTACTATCCCAACAAGTCTCACAACTCATAATTCATCTTCCCATTCACATTAACCCACCTTCTTTCCTTTTCCCACCACAGTTTGCTTCGATTTGTCATGAGCTTTCTTATTTTTGGAGCAATCAAAGTCGACTTCTGCAATTCCACTTGTTAAAGCTGGATGAGATGCGGCCAACTGCATGACAATCACTCCGCTGGGGTGTCTGAGGTAGTCTACGCCGGGATTTGAGTCGATTCGATGTAAATGATACGTTCTTTCCACGTAAGTTGGATGATTCGGGGGCTGGTTCATATCACTTTTTATGGTAATATACTAGTCAAATCTGGAAAAATATTACTCTAAAAATTAACTCTAAACCTTGAAAAATCAGAATGATCTATTTCCAAGCCTTTTCAATATTATTTATGGTGCTTTACCATCAAAATCTGATATCCGATCTAGTACAATATAATTTTTTCTCAAGGAATTTATTCAAACTGCAAAAAAAATGTAATCAATGCATTTTCTATGATATGTAAACAACAATGATATCAAAAAATGGCTTTCAGCTATCAAAAAAATGGATAAGAAAAAACTTGTTACCTAAAGTAATATTGAAGTAGTTAGAGTCAATACTGATTATAAAGGCACTTGAAAAACTGTAAATCACATCAAAAATCGATTGTTATCACATCGAAAGGAGTTTTGTATCACAATTCCATCAAAATTATATTGTTTTAGACATCTACATGATGCTGCACTGCTGATCTGCGGAGAACTCGGACATTCCGGGAAGGCCTGGGATTCCGAGATTTGGCATATTCTTCTCAAACTTTTCGATTAATGCAGGTGGGACTTCTCCGAGGTCGCGGAGTTTTGCCCAGAGGGCATTTTGTTGTTCGGTTTCCTCTGACGTCACGGGGTCGGATTGGTTTTCGTAGGAGATTATTAGGGCTTGGAATACCTGAAAAAGGGCCAGATAAATAATAAAGCTTTCATTTCCGTCAAATTTTCAGCAATAGTTTATCAAACATCATCAAATTTTATATTGTAGTAGGCGAAAAAATTTATCAAAATCAAAATTTTTAGATTTTCAAAACTCGAAAAGAACGTCCAGTCACAATATTCTGTCATTTCTAAGCTCTCTATCTCCCAACAAAGTCAAAAATTCCGCAAATTCAAAAAATTTTATATTCACCATGACATTTCTACCTAAAATTCGAACAAAAACTCAAAATATACCTCTTTCTGCGCTTCTAAATTTGCCTTTTCGCCTTCAGCGAGCTCCGTTTCGCTCAAATACTCCACAATCGCTCCATGGAACTGTCCCAACAACGGATGAATGACTTCTTTTGTAAAGCACCCTTGAAGTAAAACCTCAGTCAATTGTCGAATCTCCGGATCAGCGCCGTCTTCATCCAACAACTTGTTGATTCCAAGGAGCTCACTAAGGAAGTGAGTGCCGTCCGAGGCCGTGGTTGGCGTGGGTTCATCTTCTTTTCGGATCTGTTCCGTTTTCTCCGACATGTCCTTGAGCAATTTCTGGAGAAAAAATCATGGTTAACCAATGTCCTTTATTTTGCCTAAAAACCAACAATAATATCAAAATACTCACTTCAAAAGTCTCTGCCGCCTTTTTCGTGGCTTCTGCATCCATGGGGGCCAAGAAATCATCCAAATCATCATCAGTCGACCTGACTGGCTCTGGTTTTGCTTTCCCAAATCCACTCAGAGCTTCGTCGAGGAGGCCACCAAGCTGCTCCACGGATGGTTTCTCTTCTTCAGACATTTTGAGGGCTAAACGAATCAAACTTTATATTATCCATGACAACAAAAATTAAATTTTCGACAAAGAACCCCGATTCTGTTCAAAACTTGCAAATTCAATACCTAAAATAATAAAATACGATATAATGAGGACAACACAATCGAAAAACCGCAAAAATTCCAGCTAAATTTATCATTTATCACATAAATTTATTCTGAATAGCACTCGGAAATTTACATCTTTTTACAAATTGAAAATTCAATAAAAAAGATTAGCAGTTACACCATTGTGGAGAGTCTTCATCTGTGAATTGGCGCAGCTGAACGCCGCCTGAGTTGCCTTCCCATAGGCCGGGGGTTTGGAGGATCTAAAATTGGGTGGGTGGATAAGGTAAAATAATATAAATTTTCTACTTTTTTGGGGGTGAAACTGTAAAATTAATTAATGAAAAGGTCAGAATCGGGGAGCCTCCAAAATCCGAAAGGTTTTTTTGCGTTATTTTCGAAAGAAACAAGCGAAAGAAACTCCTTTTTCGTCTGCCTTTGCTACAGTTTGTGTGGTTTCGATAAAAACACCGGGGCGAAGGCTTTCTACTCTCTCTCTTACGCTAATTTCTGTCAATTTTGCTCCTATTGTTCTCAAAAAAGTATGTATACCTAACTCACAAAAAAAATCAAAAAATGGGTAACTAAAATAATATAACTTTAGGTATAAAAACGAAAATCTTTTAGTTTAAAAAAGCTCAACCACCCAGAAGAAACACAAAAACCTTCATTTTATCCTATTTACTCTGTCATTTTCGCTCTGACTAATGGAATTCTACAGGGTGTTCCAAGAATTATGGAAAAAACTATTCGTTAATAACTTTGTGCTCGGTGGTGCAATCCGAAAATTTTTTTTTGCATTTTGCAGGAAACCCTTGGAGTTTTTAGAATCAAAAAAGATTTTTTCGTTTTATCGGCGGAGACTTCCGTAATCCGCCTTGAATTCGGCGGAGTGCTTTTTTCAAAAACGAGGCTGTAAAATGTGTTCATTTTTTATTCCGCCGGTTTCTCCGCCGAATTGCCTTTTTTTCTTCTCTCAGTAGGCCGAAGACGTAATAAGTCGTTTTTAGACGCCATGCCACCAGGAATACCTACGTTTTGGTTTTAGCCAATTTTGACTCTCAAAAGTCGAAGAAAAATCCTCCGCCGAGGTTAAAAAATGTCTCCGCCGAATGACAAAAATTTGAAACAAATGTCATATTGTATCTATTGAATCCTCTCCTGCCCATTTACTTCACACATACAACAATTTACAGCCTTGTTTGTGAAAAAAGCACTCCGCCGAATTCAAGGAGGATTACCGGAGTCTCCGCCGATCAATGAAAAAAATTCTTCTTGATTCTAAAAACTCAAAAGTTTTCCTGTAAAATGCAAAAAAAAATTTTTGGATTGGACTACCGAGCACAAAGTTATTAATGAATAGTTTTTTCCATAATTCTAGGAACACCCTGTACTCTAATAAATACGGGAAAAAGTTATTTTTTTAGGGAAAACGTTTTTTTCAAAGTGAATCTGGAATTTAAAGCGTGGAAAAGAACAAGTTCGACCCGTCTGAACCCTAGGTTCAATTTTGCTCACAAATGGAAATTTAATTTCGGAAAAAAATTAATGTTGTAGTAGATAACAAAAAAAATAAAATTTCGTTTGGAAAAGAGCTAAACCAATGTAAATCCTGCTCATAATAATGAGGAAGCTGCCCTTTTAGTTCAATAGAACTTTTCAATCCACAAAATTCCTATTGCAATATCAAAAATTTCCCTTCGGAACATCTGATGTCATGATGAATATAAAATTTCCCTAAACTTAAAGAAACAAGTGATAAACTTCCTCACCTTTTCGATTAGCTCCTCAAATGCACATTGAACACCTTCTCGCGTCTTTGCGCTAGCCTCAATAAAGAGCATTCGGTGTTTTCGAGCGAACGCCAGACCCTCTTCCGTTGAAACTTCTCTGTTCTGCGAGTCAATCTTATTTCCGACCAGCATCTTTATCGCATCGGACTTTGTGCTGTACGTGTCCACCTCGAGCACCCAATTTTCCAGCCGATCAAATGTAGTGCGATTTGTCACATCATAAACACAGATAATCCCTTGTCCACCGCGATAATAACTTGGGGTCAAAGTACGGAACCGCTCCTGACCGGCCGTATCCCAAATTGCAAGTTTCACGTTGTTTCCGTCGATATTCATTGTGGTCACGCGAAAATCAACTCCTAAACATGTGATAAAAGAAAAACTGATACTGACTTACCGATTGTCGCGGAGAGCTCCGGGTCAAAAGTATCATCGACAAATCGCAGCATTAAACTGAAATTACAGCAAGACTAGACAATCAACTTATTCCACTAACAAAATTTCAAAATTCAAAACATGTTTTCATCATAAAAACGAGGTTTTTTCGAAATCTTCTAACTTTTGTATAGTATAATGTAAAAAAGCTAGTACAAACTGTTTCGAACAGTCAATAATCACTCTTCGAGCAACTACATACAATATAAAAACAATTCCCAGAAAAAAACCCATAAAATTTGATCATAATCGACCGAAATCCCGATATTATCCATGACCTCCCCTTGACCTACCTGGATTTGCCGACTCCACTCTCCCCAACGATCAAGATCTTCAACGTGGTCAACGTTTCGGTTTGGCTACTCATCCTGTGTATTCTTCTTGAGCGACACTCCCAATTTGTTTCTTCTTGGTCATGTGAAAAAAGATTTTCCGAAATTCTCCGTCTTGAGACGGAATGCCAAGAAATGTTTGCCAATTTCGTGGCTTCCCTGATTTTCAGGTTCAGTACGTGAGTTCGGCGAGAAAGCAAGTGCAATATTTTCCGGCTTTTGGATACATTTTCTCGGGGTTCTGCGGATATTTGAGTGCAGTGTGAGTTTATATTGTTTTAGAGGTTCGATTTTTAGGTATTTATTGGAATATTGATTTTTCGTAGTGGATAGAGAGGCTAAAATAATGTTTTTGAAGGGGCATTGCTGTAGAATTTTCTTCCGAAACTTTTGGGTGTAGGAAACGCAGAGTTAACGGGGTTTCGGGCGATTTGTTGGAACTTTTATGCTATTTATATTATCTATAATGTTTTAGTGGGTTTTATATATATTTATTGTTTACAGACGGTCTATTCTAACTGATACTCTATTGCAGATAGTTTTTCTTCTATTGTACGCGAGTTTAATTCTCGTTTTTGTTGTTATACTTCATGTATAAAATTTTCGCTTTCTTTCACTTGTAGACGCAAAAATGGCACCACCTCCAGCCCCAATGCGCAACCTCCTCCACACCAAGGCCAGAAGGTTCGTGTGGGCCGCTTTGGGCGCCTCCATTGCCTCTACAGTCCTTTTCAATTTGACCTATGTCAACAACCGTCGTCTCAACTACGAGGCCTTCTTTGCGTAAGTTCATTTTTGGATTATTGGTTATTGATGTTTAGGATAGTAGACAGCCTGAGAGCGTAATTAGAAGGTTAATTTGTTCATGAGAGATTCCATACTTCTCTTGACTACATTGTACTTGATGACAGAATTTAATTTTTACTCAAAAAAGGTTGCTAAAACAAAAAAGAATGTTACAATCCTGTGAAGTATGGCTTAGTATGCTTTTGTTCAGAAAATAGAGTTTTTTCTTTCATGTTTAGACTTCTCTTGACTAGGCAATACTAAATTTTCCATATTGAGATGCTAAAAATAATATTTTAGGTAGATTTTGCCCTAATACGTTCCAATTCACTTTTAATTCATTGTTCGTATTTTCAGTAGCTACGATCCCTACAAGAGAGCGCAAGAGATCTGCTCGTACGAGCGCAAATACCTTCACACTTGCCCCACCGAGTTGGCCAAGCTCGCCGAGGAGAAGGGAGTCGAGATTGCCCCTCTGTAAATCGTTTTTTTATGTTCCCTGAGGTCTTTATTAGGTGGGTAAGGTTGTAATTGTTTCTAGTAACAGTTATTTACCTTGCTCGGACGTTGAAAGTAAAAAATTTAACGGAACATCGGATTTTATTCGAAATTCTTTGTTTTTTTTGTTTATTTACTTGATTTTCTTGAAGTGGATGGTCGAATTATGGCAAGTAGAGTCGATAATCGATTTTGGCAATGGTTTGATAGCGAACTTGCGAGATTGAAATTAATTTTTGAGTTAAAAATCTTTATTATACCTAGTATAATATAATTTGATCCACAATCATTAATTTGCGCTTTATTTTTATATGGATTATGCGTCGTTGGCATTCAAATGGTGTGTAATTACAATATACATTGTCGTTAAATATGCGAGAATTAAGTGGACATGGAAACCGTGTTATTAGAGGAGTTTGGTGTTTTGGTCACCGAGACCTTACTCGTTTTGGGCTCGTCGATGTCGATGTTGTAGCGCAACATCTTGGCGGCGAACCAGCTGTAGTAGTTGTCGAATTCAATGATAACTGAAAAATTTGCGGTTAAATTTTGGGATTTCTGTAGTGTAATATAATTTTTGTTTCGAAAAGGAAGTAAATTGAATTTGATGGCTTGTTTTGAGCAGTAGAGGGCTTATAATAGACTGTAGACTTACATCGACCGGATTGTTCGCACAAAAATGTGCCAGAAATTGGGACTTGAGAACATTCGAGTCGGATGTAAGGATAGACTGTTTCCATCTCGGTCAGGCAGTTTGCGGTTCCGGTTTGGTCAAAGTAGATTGCAAATCCAATGTCGTCTTCGTCCGTCATGTATTGCCAGCTGAAATTGAGAGAAAATTTATATTATAATAGGCACTTTGAGGTGACTTTTGACTAAAAATGGTCGGAACCGGCTGTCTGATACCATAATTTCATCTCACTAACGTTTCATCTGTTCAGTAAGACTATACATTGCAGAACTTGTAAAATATTGTAATGTTTTTTGCAGTGTCAGCCGAAATTTTGTTGATTTTTGGATTTTTTGAAGTTTTTTTGATACTTTCCCATTTTTCTCACCTGATCCGTGTGCCCGCTTTGACCTTGAGTTCGATCAGATGTTTGTCGCCCGCATATACGGTGGTCAGCTGATCGTAATCGGGCATGGCGTTGTTTTTGTCGACGTAGTAGGTGTCGGGCACCGGGCCCAGACCGTAGCGGATCTTTGATGGGCATCTGAAATGATGGAAAATTGTTGGAAAAGGTCATAGGGGAAGGCCGGAAGGAACCGTGGCTGGTCTGATAAAGATCGGCCCGTAAATAGTAAATGACGAGGTGTACAGTCTTTGGACCTGATGCAGTGGCAAAAAACGTCCCGTTTTGCATCCGGGAATTTTCAAAAATATGGCAAAAACTTCCCTCTCCAAGCGAAAAAACTCCGATTTGAAAGGCGGCCCTTTAAAACGAAGTTTTTTCACTTGGAGAGGGAAGCATTTTGCCACATTTTTGATACTTCAATATGCAAAAAGATACGGTTTTTGCCACTGGATCAGGTCGCCCACTGTTTTTGAAAAAGGTCCCTAAACTTACTTTGGGTCCCCATTTTCATCGCACATTCGTCCTCCCCAATGCACTGGCCAAGCATCCAAATCTACGTATTGGTTTAAAGCTTGTTGCCAAGACTCTTCCGAAGGCATTTCTATCAAATTCTGAATACTTTCCGACAAAAACGGTGTCATCGAATTGAACGCGATTCTCGCCATTTCCGGGGCGCGAATGATCAGGATTTTCCGCAGAACCAGCGGGTAGTGGTCTTGGAAAAGGAGGACAAGGGTGGTAAACGAACTGGCAAACTGCTTGGAACTGTAGTGGGCTGAGGTGATGTGGTCCAAATCGAATACCAGCATCATCTGCTCGAATGGGCGGTTGGTCTGGAAAGTAGATGTTGAAAAATGATTTATCGGATATCGAGAGGATTATTCCAGTCGATAAAAAGGTCGAAAAGAGTATCATGAAGAGCCAGAATTTGGTGCCAAAAGTAGACGCAGAGGCCGAAAGAATATTGTCGCTTTTGAGGACAGAAGAAAGACGCATCTTCTCCCCTTGGAAGCGACAATATTCTTTTGGATCTTTGCGATACTTTTGGCACCAAATTGGGCGTCTCACTGATAAATAGACAGTCGTTATGTTTTTTTTACGTTTTTGTCAACTAGAACTTTTAACGGCTGCTATCAGTCTGTCGGGAAAATAATGTGGATTTCTCCAAGGCGCGGCGAATCCACATTATTTTCCCTACAGGCGGAGATAAACGTAACGAAAAATGGGTTAAAATACGATGACTTTTATAACGATATTATTGCTGTACCTGTTTAGCGCGCTCCTGACAAAGCTCGATTCCTTTTTCAATAGCAGCCAATGAGAATTTGATATAGTCCTTGCTTTCCACCGACCTCAGCATTCCTTCCACATCCATATTCCCCAACAAGGACATGAGAATCGGGTTGCCTTCGCGGTCCGACAAAAAGCCATATCCGCAGTATTTCTCGAGAATCTGCAAAAGGATTTGGGGTAAAATACGGGGATCTTTTCAATATTTTTTATTTGTGGTTTTACAATTTTTATGTTGTTTATACTGTCCAAAAATTTTCGATGTTTTTGTTTTGTAAGGGTTTTCCAACCATTTTGGAGAACCGGTTTCGCTGCGAAAGCTTCTTTTTATGACTGACCACGAAAATTAAAGAACGGTTTAACGTTCCCCCCGAAAAGTTGGAGTCTTTAGTGAATGGCGTTGTAACCGTGGGTTCGCTGTAAAAGGGTTGATGTCACTTCAAAAAAGGAAAGAGTTGTATACAAAAATGGCTTTCAAATGATTACTAATATTTTCATAAAGTGCATGGACATTTGTTCTGTTTCGCACAGTGCATTTTGAACTTTTTCCCGCGCTTGTCGCCGACGCACAGTGCATTTTGAACTTTTCGCACAGTACAAACCACATAAAAAGCCGTTTGCACTGTGCAAATTCTACGGTGAAACCGCGGCGACGCTTAAGAAATTTTGCGTCGCGACGATATTTCTGATGCACAGTGCGAAACTAAAAAAAGGAGAACTGCACGGTGCAAAATGGGGAGCTTATTGTGCACGGTGCGGACAGCGAAAAAATACAATAAATGTCTATGCACTTTATGAAAATGGTAATATCAGTCTGTCGGGAAAATAATGAGCACTCTGTTGCATCGAAAATCACGTCTCCGCCAAGAAAATGAATTGTGTCGCGGCAAAATCAAATTGCTTTTAATTCAGCGATCGGCGAAGCGACATTTTGCTTATTATTTTCCCGACAGACTGGTATCAATAAAAGGAGGGGAACTTTAAAGCACGAGGTAAAAAATTCGGTTACAAAATACCCACCTCAGGTGCGGTCCATCGCTCGATTCGGTCCAGATCCCAGGCCTTTCGGAAGACGGCGTTCTTCTTCAAACCCTCGGCGGTCTCATCGAATTTCCCATCCTTGGAGCGAAGCCATCTGAGCAGAGTGGAGGTGGAATAATGCGCGACTTGAGGCAACAACTGCCTCAAAGCATTGCACGCCTCAATCTCTTGGTCCGTCGCTGCTCGCTGTAAAATGCGGTGTGGCATTCTGAAAGGGATTCGGTTTAGTACTGGGGGGTTTTTAAAATGTCAAAAAATTTAAAGAAATCACGAAAAAGCCGTAAAAATCATACAAAGAACAAAAAAAGAGAAAGCATAAAATCCTGGAGTAAACCGAATTAGAGAAAGACAATGTGTAGGCCCTAAAATGTCCGAAAAGTCGTAAACAATTACTGGTTTTTGTTGTTTGTTGTCGAAAATCTTACGACAAAGCAAAAATGTCTTGTCGTAAAAAAGCAAAGGAGATTTTTGATAGACTTTTTACAAGTAGGATGTAATTTTTCGATAAAAAATCGAGCGGGCGAAAGCAAAAATCATCGCAAATTTTTCTCTGACCCTCCACATTTTGCGTGATCTCTCGGAAAAAGGGGAATTTTGATACTATTAGTCCTTCTATAAAGTGCATAGACTTTTTGTCGCGAAATGCACTATGCGCCGCGAAAAAAGTGTAGGCATTTTTGAAAAGGCGCAGGTAGTACTAATCGGGGCAAAAAGTCCTGATGATTTGCAGGGTGTAAAAAATTTTACCGCACTAAATTTTCGCTTTGAAAAAAGGGCGTCGCACGCAACGCTAGTGCAAAAAATCGTAGTCCCAATTCACTGTTCAAAATGACTTTTTTCTCGATCTTTGCAGCGGCACGCCAAACCCGCACTATGCAAATTATCAGGACTTTTGGCGCCGAGTAGTACCCCTGACTACCACTGAGACGCCGAAGAAGATCCTTCGACCATTTTAAAGGTCGCCCAATGACTTTTCCACCAGTTCCATCACGTCTATTGTGAAATTGCCCGGCGGGAACCCCGCCGCTAGCCGGAATTTTTGTTTTCGCCTCCGTGGGAAATCAGGGCTGGGCTCGAGATAAACGCTGGAGATAAAGATCGCGAAGAACGTGCGAAAAGCGTTGAGAAAGGTCCAGAAAACCGACGACGTGCGAAAAAAGGTCATTCGTGAAGGACAACATGACAAGGGATCAAAGATTGTCATGCGATGACAATATGCGTACACAGCAGAATTTGAAAAATTGAAGTGATTTATGGGAAAACTGGGAACAGTAGTAGAAGTTTTTTGGTGGGAAATATTGGTGGGGTGTCCCCCAAATTGGCTCCTTGGTCTTCTTTTCAATTTTATACTCTAGTATGTCTCATGTGGATCCTTAGAAACCTTAGCTTGGAACTTTTCCTCACAACTCAGGTATTTAGCGATGTTTTAACCGAGAGAGCAGGCAAAATGAAGAGAGTCGGCTAGACATAAACTCCACTTGATTAACTTTTCGAATCTAGCTGAGGGAAAACCCAATTTTTTCTCTCATTATTTTTCTCACTGTTGCTATTTTCTTAAAGTGCATGGACATTTGTATCATTTTTCCTTTCGCGCAGTGCATTTTGAACTTTTTCCCACGCTTGTCGCCAACGCACAGTGCTTTTTTCTCTTTTCGCACAGTGCAAACCTCAAAAAAAGAACCGTTTGCACTGTGCAATTGCTTGAGCGAAACCGCGGCGACGCATTTGAAGAAAAAGCTTTCGGGCCATGTTCGATGCACAGTGCGAAATCAAAAAAGTGAAATGTACGGTGCAAAATATTTATAATCTTTTGTGCACGGTGCGGACAGCGGTTTTGGCCGTACCTTTGAAAGTTTCGTGCAGAAAAAAGTGATTTTATGTGGAGACATTTATATTTACGGTAGAAATGGGAATTAATTTTTTTCATGCAAAAATTAGGAGCGCGCTCGAGCGCGACAAAATGTCCATGCACTTTATGAGAATACTCATACTTCAAATAGGGACCATACTTTGGTCTCTATTCAAACTGAAAATCAATTAGGCTCTGAAATGACTCAAAAAGTATCAAAAATTGGCTAAAATTTTCGGAAAACGCCAAAAAAACAAAATTAACGGCTAAAAAATGCACCAAATCCACTAATATTCCTAATTACAACAACTCATTAGTCTTTTGTTCTCCTCCAAAAATCATCTCCCCCAATCTCAAAATAAAAGGGGGGTTTGTGGAGAGATGTTGATGAGTGGCGAATGTACAAGGGGATATTCAGCAGATCCCTCCATGGGGAGATCTCTGCGCGCTTTCGTTGACCTGTTTTTTGGGTCGGGCGTATTTTTTCGTGTTGTGATGCGTCGAACAAGGAAAAACGTGTTCAACCCGCGCCGCACAAGAGTCGGCAGCCGAGATGAGAAATCACCGAACGAGAGATCGACCATTTCCAATACCGTCGCCGCGACAAAAAGTGGACGGTTCAAGGGACGGCGAGAGTGGAGAGTACCGACAAATTTTAAAAATATTTACTTTGTTTTTGAGTTCGGTACAGTCAACCTTTGGTATAAATAATCACAAGATCCCAAAAAATAAATTTGTTATGTAAGGGCTACGTTCTGTGGAGGGCCGTTGAGGCCAAAAAATGGCTTCTAGGAGGCCAAAAAAATCTCTTCTAGGACCTCTGAAATTGTCGGTTATGGAGAGGTTTCGCTCTATGGGAGTTTGTTATAAAGTTGGTTATAGACAGGTCTCGCTTTATTGGAGTTCGTTGTCGTGTTCCACTGTGCTTATGCAAACCAAAATAGGTTTAATTAGGCATAGTTTAGAACGGTGACTCTTTGCTACTGGAGAGATAGAAAATGGAGAGCAAGTTTTCTTCTCGGCTTTTTGAAATCATACACAACTCAAATACGCTGTTTGTGTACGGTCCGGACAGCGAAAAAGTATAACAATTGTCCATGCACTTCATGAAAATTCTAATTTCAGGCTGTCGGGGAAATAATGAGCAGCATCGAAAATCGCATCGGTGCCGAGAAAATGAATTGTGTCGCGGAAAAATGAAATTGCCTTTCCACCTTAGCGACACTATCGGCGCAGCGGCAGAGTGCTCATTATTTTTCCGACAGACTGATACATCATGACTTGTATGGCTTGATCGAGGCCTCGCAAGCAGTAATCAACTTCTTTGCCGAAGAGAGGCTTTATAAAGTGAAGGAAGATGGCTAAAGGCATCTTCAGCAAGTCATTTTGTGTTTTATGAAAGCTATGGCCTTCAGTTCCTCGTCTAATTTTACACGATTTATCTACATAGGCCGCATTTCAATCCCTAAAAATCTTATCTATCGCTTTGCAAGGGCAGCTTCGCATTGAGGGATTGTTGGAAGCAAAATGTGAGAAAGCAAGGAAAGACGGTCGAGAAATTGTTTTCCGGATAGATCCGGAAGAATTCTGAGTGGAAAGAAGCAGCTTTTTGTAAGAAGCCTGTTCTTAACAGTTCGGATGGTGTCACTGTTGTAGCCTCTAAATCTCGAAAAAAATTTAAATTTCAGACATCTTTTGACTTGAAAATCTAGATTTTTTATGCAAGGTGCATACTGAAAATCTGGCATATGCCTTGAGAAAGTTTAATCTCGGTTTGTGTCATTTTTGATAAAAATATGAGCCATCGACCGAAGGCATCTTCTTCATCGACCTTTTTCCGCATTATCAGTCTGTCGGGAAAATAATGAGCACTCTGTCGGTGTGCCGATCGCAATTTGATTTTACCGCGACACAACTCATTTTCTCGGCGGCCATGTGATATTTTCGACGCGACAGAGTGCTCATTACTTTCCCAACAGCCTGATTTTGTTCACCACTCTCCACGAACCGAAAGTAAACACCAAAAAAGCCAGATTCCCATCTCTCCAAGCGCTTCGAAAAAGCAGAAAAAGCGATATCCCCAATCTCTCCCCGCTTCGCCCCAGCAATCGATGATGAAATCCCCGCACGAACAAAAACATAACACGGCTTCGGGGCGGCGGAAAAATAACTGACCGAATTCGTTTTCGACGTGAGAAAAAAGAGAGAATCGGGCGGGACTCCACGCGCAAGCGGGGCCGCTTTTTCGCCGATAGTTCGATGGGGGGAGAAATGGGAAGGGAAAAGCGACCGATGCAGCCGAGATTGACCTTGGCGACAGACGTTTTTCGAACCCAAGACGGGCTTAGATGGGTATTCAAAAAGGGGGGGGAAAGTAAGGAAAATGAGAAAGTAATGGCTAAAGCAGTGGTAAAATACGAAATGACAGATGCTAAAGCGATTTTTGGAGTTTGCACTGTGCAAAAGTCATCCTGCGAGGGGCAGAGCAAAAAAGCATATTGCACGATGCAAAAGGCAAGAAATTGCACGGTGCAAAGCGAACTTTTGTTTTCGCACAGTGCATGCCCCAAAAATCACTCCAGCGACACTTTGCGAACTAACTAGTAACGGTTAGAGCTCTGTTCAACGAACCAGGATCAAAAAAATTGTTTGTTACAGAAGGGATTTGTTGTATGGAGGTTTTCTTGGCTGAAAGTTGTCCCGTCTCCTTGGATTGTAAGATTGCTCGTTATAGACAGGTCTTTTGCTGTACATAGGATTGTTGTATGGAATTTACATTGTGGAAAAATCCAGGAAACGTTCTACCGGATAACGGTGCCAAAAAAATTAACGCATTTTTAGTGGCAAACATACGGCGAAGGATGATCTTTTTTCTCTTCCCATTCTTCGAGACCGGCCCATTCTCGGCGGTAAGCATCGTTGAATATTTCTGCTGCGGCTGCAAAGCGTGACCTACCATTTTTCATTAAAAAATGAACTATTATAACATACTAGTCCATCCGGAAAGTCGCTGGAATGATTTTTGGGGTTTGCACAGTGCAGAAAAGGTCAGGATGTCAGCGACAGCCCAAAAAAGCATATTGCACGGTGCAAAAAGCAAAAAATTGCACGGTACAAAGAAAAGTTTTGTTTTCGCACATCGCATATTGCCGATTTCAGTCCAGCGACTTTTCGGAAGGGCTAGAAAACATAGAAAAGCCCAAAAATTGCCCAAAAAACTAAAATTTGTAAGCTGTATCAAATTTATCATCGCACTAATACATACATGTAAAATATCTCAAAAATGGGTGATAAACTCTGCTAGTACACCGAACTTTTCATTCACACTATGCTGATGTTTGTCGCGCACAACCGCTTC